CAGGCCGGTTGCTGAGGCGCAGCTTGGTCTGCAGTGTGTTGAAGTTGATCTCCAGCTGGCACTTCTCCTGCACCTTGGGCGGCTTGTGGACGCGCCGGTAGTCCCGGAAGTCCTCCAGCTTCTGCTGCATCTCCTGCATGGTCTTCTGCGGCACGCGGTCCTCCAGCCAGGGGATGGTGCGTCGGATCCACTCCAGGAGCTGTGGGCCCGCGACAAGCCTCAGGGTGCCGGGAAGGGCCTCGCCCCGCGCACGGGTGCAAGGGATATGGGTCTTCAGGGGTCCCGTCTCGGGGATCACCCCCGCTCCCCAGCCTGGCTTCCCCATGATCCCCACTGGGATCCTACGGCCGGGAAGTACGGGGATGCACGCCCCCTGTGAGCCGCCGTGCTGTTCTCTGCTTACTTCCTGTTCATGCCGTTGTTCCCAGTCTTCCTTCTTCTCGGATCTAAGGGGGCCTCAACTCCAGCATCCCTCCCATCACCTCCCACCACATGACCTCACTAGCGCCATTTCAGTGAGCTCAGCATCGTCTGAGAGAGACGTCTCACTGCCTCGTTCGTGGGCCGTAAGCGCATCAAGGGAAGAGCCCACCGCATGCCAGGCTTCCTCTAAGGAGGCCAAGGCAGCATGCACGGCCTTTCAATTTGAAAGCAAAATTGAAAAAAAAAAAAAAAAAAAAAAAAAAAAAAAAAAAAAAGTGACGTGTGTTTTGATGAGCCGCTTGTATCTGTCATATAGAGTGAGGCCCGGGTATAAACAAGCAAACAAACCGGGCATTCTAGAAGAGTAAAACCAGCTATTGTCTACCGTAGATACACTTAAAAGAAGTGGTTCCCAAATGCCAAGTTCTGGCAAAAAGAAAAAAGCAAGGAAAAAGGTATCTATGTGTCTTTATATCTTGATGCAAGGAGCCAAATGCCCTTTCTTAGGAAGGGATGGGATCCCAAGATATAACCTTTTAACTTTTTCTTGGTGAGAGAAAGGATGGTGGTAACAAATGGTAGCTTTTTCTTTTTTCTTTTTTTTTTTTAAGTAATCTGTATACCCAACGTGGAGCTCGAATCACAACCCCAAGATCAAGAGTTGCACACTCCACCAAGTGAGCCAATCAGGCACCTTGGTTAGCCTTTTCTTTTAAAAATATCCTTAACTTGGCAAAACAAAAAGCTGGTCACTATAGTTTGGCTGTCAAATACTTTTCCAAATATTCCTGATCCATGCAACTTCAAAGTCTGGGAACCACTAGTCTGGAAGAGCAGTCAAACCATGGCTCTCGGGGAGCTTCAATGCTTTTGTTTTTTTAATATGGAAATTTTCAACACACAGGAGGGAATCCAGAAGACAATTACTAAACACCCACATTCCCAGCTGACTTTCTGGGTTCAGGCTCTGGAGTGGGACTGCCTGGGTTCAAACCCCGGCTCTCTACTGCACCAGCCGCATGCCTGGTGCTTGAGTCTCTCTGGGTCTGTTTCTCCGCTTGGAGAAGGGGGTAACAGGAGTTCCCTCCTCCCAGGGCGGTTGTGGAGAGCACAGGGCCCGCCACGACAAGGCCCAGTCCTGTCACCGTGTCTGGTGGGGGTGTTCAAGAACTCTCCTTGAGTACCTCTGTAAGAACCCAAGCTCAAGACGGAGGGAGCCAGGGAGCAAGGTGACACGCCAGCCTGACCCTTAAGGCCTTGTGAAACTAGCCTGGAAGGTCACATACCAGCTTCATCTAGAAAGTGTCACTGCCATACCTGCTCGCCCCTCAGCAAGCTTCACATGACCTGCGGCCAAGGGTAACGAGAGGTGACCCAATCCTCCTGCTCTAGTGGGGCCACCAGGGGCGGGATGAGTGGCACTTACGTCGCTGGCCAGCCTCTCATAATCTTCCATGAGGTGCTCATTCTCCTGGTTCACGGCCAGCACCTTGCAGATCCGGTTGGCAGCAGTCTCCGCCTGGGGCAGAGGAAGACCACAGTCAGGGCCGCCTGAGGGCTGGTGACCCTCCCTCCTGAAGGGCTCATCCCCTGGAAGCTGGCTCATCCACAGCCCACACAGCACTCCCCAAGGAAGGAAGGAGAGAAGCACAGCTCCAGCAAGACAGTACCCTGAGCAGCCATGTCCTGAAGGGCTCCGCCGGAGTCCCCATACCCTACTGCTAAGGCACCACCCCCTCCCCGGATAGCTGGGCCCCTCAGCCTGGACCCCGGAGGTGCTGAGGGCCGGAAAGCCCTCCCACTATGGGGAAGTGGATAAACAGGTCCTCAGGGAGGAAGGCTGGGTAAGGCTTGTGTGTCGGAGGGGACCTTAGCTAGGCCTGGCCCTGGAGTCTCGCCCTGGGTGGGAAGGTCCATGGCAGAAAGGCCAAGCACTGGATAGCTGCATGGTGCCCTCCAGAGAAGTCCGTGGTCAGTGCACAGGCAAAGCACACGTGTGCCTTTCCTAATTCCCCCCTCGGAGGTGGGTGTTGATGGCTCATTGGGCAGAAGTCACAATCCTGGGGGCAGAAGGGAGCCACGCTCCAGAGAGCAGGGAGTGGTGGAGACTGACCAGTCTCTGCTCAGAACTACAGGACAACGTCCTCCCTCATCCTGCTTTGGGCGGAGGGGGGAGGGAATGCAAGGAGCGGAGAAGAAGGAGAGCAAGGGGGGCGCCACACGGGGAGAGGAGAGACCAGGTACCTTTCAAGAAGCACAGAAAGGGTCCAAGAGGAGAAGTTGAAACGGCAACAGAACAGGAACAGAAATAGTGAGGAGGGTCTACAGAGTGGCGGGGAAGGAAAACAGAGAGGCTTGGGGATGGCTCCAGACCCGCGAGCGGCAGGCACCGACGCCCAGCCTCTCCCATCCACACACTGCTTCTGGGACCGGCGGGGAGGTGAGTGGGGACCAGCGGAGATTGGTGTGTGTGCACACGGGCACACACCGTGAGTCAGGCCGCAGGACACACAGCAGCAGCCCCAGGCAGTGCTCCTCAGAGATGAGGTGCACAGGGGCCTCGGCCAATAAACATCCAGCCCCGGTGAGTGCAGGAAGCAGAGCTAAGGTCACAGCTTGTGGGGGGAGTCCCAGAGGTCAGTCCCTGACCGCTGGCTCGGAGACACAACGGGCACCCCATGTTCAGACCCACCGTGCCGGGCAGACCCACGAAGGCAGGAGCTGCTAGTCAGCGGTGCTCTGCTTCACAGATGAATTCCCGGCACCCAGCTCAGGGCTTGGTATGTTTTAGGTACTCAGAGTTGATGAATGAGTGAGTGAACAAAGGAATAAGGAGTAAATGCTTAGTGACTAGAAATAAACTATCAGGAGGGAACAGTCATGCTTGGTGCCAGGCCTGGGGTTCACCTTGTATTTATAAAACAAAACAAATGCCAGAGAGCACTCTTTTAAGAGACAGGATGGAGTCCCCGAGGACAAGAAGCAATAATAAAAGCATCACAAGGCTGTCTTGAGACGTAAACACAGGCCGGAGGAAGCCAGACTCGGCGCTGGAGAAGCCTGGAGGTGGCACGTCCCTTGGTGAATGGGCAGCTCCCAACAGCTTCTCGCATAAGAGGGGCCCAGCTGCCTCAAAAACGCCCGATGCTCTGGCCTGAGCTTTCCTGCCAGTATCCACTCCCACAAATCCCTCAAGGCTGCCCAGCCACAACCACAGCGGAGCTCGGCTCTGAGCACAGGAGGGCGGTCCGGGCAGAAGGGGGGGGGATGCGGTGGGCCGGGGCTGGCTCGGGCCTGCAGAGCGGCGAGTCCAGTGGCCAACGTGCCGTCAGTCAGGGTCTGAGTCCTGGAATCTTCCGTGGCTGCCCGCCCCCACCCCCCTCCTCTGCCCTCCAGCAGAACACGCCAAACAGGAGCTGCAGTCACACGCTGGGTAGGTGGTGAGAGGCTATGAGAAGCTGTTTCTGGCCACGGGGCTGGAAGGACCACGGTGGGCACGGGCAGGCCCTGCAAGGCTGTTCCAGCCACCCGATGATTTACTGAGCACTTACGGGGCTCAGCGCGGTTTTAACTCACCCCGTTGCCTACATGCACTCGTTTCACCCTCCTACAGATGGGGAAACGGAGGAAGTGACCCATCCAAGGTCACACTGCCAAGAGGTGGCAGAGCAGGGTCCACAGGCAATAGTAGGTGCAGCCCCTGCCCTGTGACCTCTCTGAACTTCAGTCTCCTCCCCTTTTAAGTGAAGATACTGGCACCCACGCCCCGGGGGTGTGTGCAGGACCGTCCCAGAACCTGTAGGTGCAGAGTCCTTGGAGGACTGCCAGCACGTAGTAAGTGTTCAAGAAACAAGAGCTAATTTCTCCTCTTCCCCGCCCGTTTCTAATCGGTGACACAAAATCACGTCATTGGGAGGATACTACTGCCCAAGACCAGAGACCAGGAGGCAAGGGGAGGGCACACAGGTGCACAGGCCTCCAAGCAGGCCTCTCTCCCATGGAAGCGGACAGCCACTGCTGGGAACAGACACTTCTGATGCTCCGCTCCTGTCAGCGGGGCCGCCAGGGACAGGGGCCTGGCAAACTGGGTGGGCAGGTACAGGCTGAGAGGAGAGTCTAACCTGCTCATGCCAAGCCTTTCCTGGGGCATTTGGGAGGGAAGGAGCCCCAGTGAGATGCCAGCGCGGTGGGCAAGCGTCTGGGTGTGGATCACGGAGAGGGCAGGGCAACCGAGTGCCCGCACCGCAGCTCTGCTGGGATTCGACCACCCAGAGCCGCTGGGATGCCACCACCCTCCTGGCAGTGGGGGGAACGTATTCACGGGGAGAATATCGGTGCCGTGTCTGCACTGGACTGCAGGCTCAATGGTGGAACCAGAGGCCCACAGTCACGAGAACCCGACCCAGGTCAGTCCCCATGCTGGGGCTCCAACCACAAGTGGGTGGTGGGGACATGCGGGGGAGAGTGAGGGCAAGTCTGCAGGCACAGCAGCGAGGGGTGCTCCCGCCCCAGCTCACCTTTTGAGCCCCCGAGAAAGCGTGGTAGAAGCAGGACACGTAAGTCATGATGGCTTTCTCATCTGGCCTCAGAGTGCCTACAATATCTGCGCAGAGAGAGAGAGAAAGAGAGAGAGAGAGGCAGGAGAGAGTGAAAGATGCAGGGAGGGCGGCCGGGGCCGGACCCTAGGCTCATGCGGGAGGAATAGCGCTTGCTCTGGACTGGAAGCCAAACCCCGGCTCCGGCTGTGTGGACACGGATCGCTGAGGTTTTGTAGAGGGAAAGAGGGAAGTCTGAACAGGTGGAGTCCTTTTCTAACCAGACCTGGGTTTGTGACACTAGCTACTGGCAAAGGAAGGGGCGTCTGGGTAGCTCAATCGGTTAAGCATCCGACTCTTGATTTCGGCTCAGGTCATGATCTTATGGTTCATGAGTTCGAGCCCCGCCTTGGGCTCTGCACACTGACAGTGCAGAGCCTGCTTGGGACTCTCCCTCTCCCTCTCTGCCGCTCCCCCATTTGCTTGTTCTCTTTCTCTCTAGTAAAGAAATGAATTTAAAAAAAAAAAAAAAAAAAGGAAGACTGGTTTAGGGCTAGAAGGGTCAAAAGCTAACTGATCTTTCTGGAAACATCAGTAAGATCACGTCTTACATTAACTACCTACTACCCCAGAACAGACCACCAAACGGTTTCCTAGGGCCCTTAGAATGGAACTCCGGATCTCAGACTATGGTGATTCTACACACCATGGCACTGTTATTATCTCCAACCTCATTTTTTCCCTCTCCACTCTTCCCTGAATAAGCCAAGCTCATTTCTGCCTCAGGGCCTTTGCACTTGCTCTACCCTCTGCTTGGAATGCTTTTCCTGCTGATCTTCATCCGGCAGCACCTGCTCATCACTCCAAGTGGCTGCCCACGTCACCCAGCAGAAGCCTCCTGTCAGGGCCCCCAGCTGAAGCAGCCCCACAGATATCTCTATCCCACCATCCTGCCCTACGTGCTCTACTGTGCTTATCACCATGTGAAATGACTTTTTATCTGTGGACATGTCTGTTGTTGGCCATGCCCACTGGAATGTAAGCTCCATGAGAGCAGGGATCCTGCCTGACTCAGTCACTACTGTATCCTCAGTGCCTGGAATAGCCTGGCACAGGTCAGGCACTCAAAAGATACCGTGAGCAAAGACTAAACGGGCAGTGATGCCTGGAGTCGGGGGGGGATGGCTTCCAGTCGGAGAGAGGCCACTGCCGTCTGCAAGAGAAATGAGGTGAGCGTGGGAGGCGAGAGGCAGCGGCGGCATTGGGCAGTGGCGGCGAGGTGGGCCTGCCTGGCCCTGCCCGGTACCTTCTGCGCTCCCGAAAAGGCATGGTAGAAGCTGGACACATAGGTCATTATGGCCTTCTCGTCGGGCCGGGCCGTGTTCACGATGTCTGTAAGTGAACGACAAGGGTTAAACTGCCCAAGTAGGGGTGGGCTTGGGGGGGGCGGGGGAGAGGTGGTCACTCACTGGGATCCAAAGTCTCCTAAGGCCACAGGCATCCCAGGAGAAGGACCCTCAGAATGGATTCAGTGACCCCCAGTGACTCCAGGAGACTTGTCCATACCCTCAGCCCTTCCATTCCCTGTGGTCTCTAGAAAGGCCAAGGCTGTGGGAACTGGATTAAAATGAGGCCACTTCCTCTCTTTGAGAATGGCCTCAAGGGGCTGCTGGACAGTCAACCCCCGGGGCCACCAGAGGCCAGAGACATGGGTCCTGGCTGGGGGTGGTGCACGGCTGGGAAACGGAGCAAAGCCGGAAAGGAAAAACAAACACTCCGCTTTGATGGACTCCAGACTCCACGCCGGGGGCAAGCAGGGAAGACAGCGGCCTTGGATGTCTGCAGGAGCCAGCCCCTCCCTGGCCACCTGGCTTGCCCATCCCACGAGAGGGGCAGGACTCCGACAGGGCCCCAGCAGGACACGCGGGTCCTGTTCTGAGACGTGGCCCCCACAACCAGTCATCTTCCAGCTCCTCCTTCCCCTGCTTCCCCATCCCTGAGCCTGACTGGTCTGCTCAGACTGCTCCCTCTCTGGCTCCCAGGGAGCACCACTGTCCCCGGTTCACCCAGATTCATCCAGCCCTTCTCACTGGCGCCGCCAGCTCCTTGAAGTTACCGCAACACATGCCCGCAGAACAGGGTGGTGACTGAACAAAAGGGATGTACTTACCCTCTGCATCCAACATCTTGGGGATGTCTAGATATTTCTCGGCCACTTCAAAGGCATTGTTCAGGTTGGTGACAGGGTCATCCTGGGAGGAGGGAGGTGAAGGAGGGAGGAAGGACTTTGTCAGGGGCAGGGTGCAGGAGCACAGAACGAGGCAGGCCTGGAAGGGAGGCATCCTGGAAAGGGGCAGGGCTAGAAAGGCTTCTTTAGGCACTTCTCGGCCCCCTGTGCTGCTATGGGGATTGGGGAGGAGGGCACCCACATACAGTCAATCCTCAAAGGAATGCATCTGGGAATCTTTGTGGGAAAAAGCGTGGACCTTTCCCCCAGAGAAAATGCAGGTGTGCTCTTTTCTCACAACTTCCAGCCCTCCGGCCCCCAGATTGAGACCTTTGTCCTGAAACCCAGAAAGTGTGGTCCAGACCTGAGAGAACACCGTGGGGGTGACAGGTTAGGGGTAAGCCGAGAGCTCCCATGGTCCAGCCTTCACACGGTCTCCCCACTGTTCCTAGGATTAAAGACCCTCGCTCATGTGCCTTAGTTGATGTTCAGCTAGAGCCCAATTCGATTCCTCAGAGGGGCTTGAACAGGTCAAGTGCAGGCTCGTGCTTCCCCCACTGGGAATGCCCTCCCCTTGGCTCTAGGCTGCCTCCTCCTCCAGAGGCCCTTCCTGGACCATGCCAGCTCGCCATGGCCTCCTTCCTCTGCAGTACCTCTCTGGCCCTACCCACTTCCCACCCTCATTCAGCCTGAGCACATGTGCATGGCCTCATGGGGCTGGTTTGCTCTGGACACACTATCCCACCTTCTCCACTGGCTGGGAGCTCCTGGAGGGCAGGACCTTGGTCTTACGGGCTCACAAGCTTTGTAAAGGCAAATGAGAATGGAAACCTGCATGGGAAACACCTGCTGGTAGTGATGGCTTGGAATTCTTCAGCCTTTTTCTCCACTAGGCAGAGAGGAAATGCTTCTAGAGTCTAAAAGGTTAAGGAAGGGGACCCAGAAGGCACGGCCGGCCAGGCCCCAAAATAACCGTGGGCAGTCGCAATGCCCATAAGGGGAGAAGGGGATAGTCCCCAAGGGGAGCAAGGGAGGTAAGAATCAGCCACCAAGCCTGGGTGGCCCAGGCTGGCACAAGGCCCTCTTAGCCTGCCCCTATGAGCACAGAATCCTCCTTTGGATGCCAGCAATAGACGGGCGTGGAAGAGGTGACCCAGAGTCAGGGTCAGACTCTGTGGATCTCTGGGTCACTGAGGGATGTGCAAGAGGCAAACCTTTCTCAGCTTGTCATACTCGATCAGCTCGGGTCTGTGTCGGTGGATCAGTGCATTGAAGGCAAGGCCATCCTTCCAGCTGGGGATGGAAAGACAAAGGTTAAAAGGAGGGCCCTCTCCCCATGACGTAAGTGTTGATAGCCTGGGGCACCCATAGGAACAATTAATTCCCATTTACTGAGATAGTGCGTGCGCCGGGCACTGCAAGGAGACCGTCTGGCAGAGTGGCCGTGAGCATGACTGCTAGAGCCAGCTGGTCTGGGGTGAGATCCCACCTCTGGCACTTAACGTCAGTGTGACCTTGGGCAAGTCCCATAATCTCCTACTCCCTCAGTTTCCATGTCTGTAAGGCGGGGTAGTAAGAGTAGCTACACTTCGCTGGGTTGTTATGAGGACTGAATGAGTGAATACACGTAAACGCTTAGCCCGGCGCCTGACCCGTGGCTAGTACTTTATGAGTGAGTGCTGGCCTCCGGGATGGCCATGACCTGCTGAGCCCTGTACGTGCAAGACCCCGCCGAATGGGATGGGCCTACAGTGGAGGGCAACAGCCCACCGTGGGAGACCAGTGCGCGCGCCCTGACCCATGGGACAGAACCAGGGAAAGGGAAAGAGGGCCAAATGGGAGGATGGGACTCCATCCTGGGGCGAGATGAGGGAAGGCGGTGGGCTGGAGTGCTCTGGCCGGGCACTCACCTGATGTGGAAGTTCTGCACGTTGACATTCTTGTATGGGGCCGTCTTCCTCTGGCACCAGAGAAGCAGCCCTTCCTTGGCGGAGGTCTCTGCAGAACGCACAAGGACGGTGAGCGCGGGGTCAAAACCCCATCCCCACAACCCGGCCCCGTCGAACGAGACTTTCAGCCCAGGCACAGGAGTCAGACGGAAGAGCAGCAGGGCCAGCAGGAAGAGGCCCTCCTGTTCCAGACACCCGGCAGACCTCTGCTGATCCCAACCACTGGCCTGCACACCGAGCCCTGAGAAGTCACTTGCCCGGGGTCACCCCAGGAAGTGGTAGTGACAGGACAGGCCAGGGCCGGACACCACGCCACGTCTCTGCCCACAAAGCCTGTCCCTTTACCCTCCAGAACACACTGCCAAACAAGCCCCTGATGCTGGCCTTGGACTCTTCTGAACGGTGAAGAACCAGCCAAGGGGCCTGAGCGCCGGGCCTTGCACACCCGGGGTCTCCCAGATGTGGCGGCGGCTTCAGGGAAGTGGTGAGGGAGGGGCCCAGGGCATCTGTCTGCTCCCCGTGGGCGGCTCCGGGAGCGCGGAGTGCAGGGTCACCGCTGCGGCCTTTGCGGGAACCCGCTCCCCAAGCTGGCCGGGATGACTGTGCTCACACCATAGCACACACACATGCTTGGAGGGACTGGCCCCAGGTTCACGGAGGCAAAGGTCTGAGGGTGGGGGTGTCAAACGGAAACATGTAGGCGCTAACGCGAAAAAACCAGGCCAGGCCTGACTCTGCCACTGGTCTGCCCTGCGACTCAGATTCCTTGACTGGAAAATGGGGACATTCATGCCCACTCAACAAGCGTCGTGTGAGGGTCCGCTGAGACGGAGACCATGGGAGCCAGAGGGCTCTGGGTGGATGCCAGAGCTGGGCGGCTGGCTGGGGACCCTTCACCCACAGCCCCGGCCAGATCTCACTAACCACTCTTGCACGGGGCCAGGCCCCGCGAGTGATGCCGGGAAACACGGAAGAGCCTCAAGCATGAAGACAAAACCCCCAAATCACCATCTAACGCACCCCAACCTGGACAGGACCAGGACAGGGAGAAGAGGCTGTTCTTTGCCAGGCCTTAGGCTCTCACCTTCCACAGAGATGTCCTGGATGGCGAACCTGAGGATGATGGTCCAGATCATTCCCAGGGTCATCTTTGCGTTGCCGTCCACAATCTCTGCATGCACGGAAGGGGGCAGAGGGTGAGAAGGTTGCTGAAACCAGAGGGGACTCCTTCTGGCTCTACATAGAGATTAGCTCCGATGGTCCAACGGGAGCCGTCCAGGCCTGTTCGCCACCCTCCCTGGGAGACGCTACACGGACACTGGGAAGCACCGTCCCCCAAGCCTTCTGCTGCTCAGCACCTGCGGGCCCCCGTGCACGTGCTGTCCGCCACGCAGGCCTGTTCTCACCCGGCCAGCCCATCGTCTCGCCCAGCTCAAAAGAGCGCTCCTCCCTGACACGTGTCCCAGGCACTGGGCCCGCACTCCCAGCCCTCTGTGTGCACCTCCCTCGTGCCGTCAAGGGTGCGTCTCCCCATGGCGGGTGCGTGCCGCACTACTGTTGAGAATCTGCCCACTTCCTTCCAACCTCACTGCTGCCACCATTGTTCAGGCCACTGTGGTCTCCCCCCGAGAGCTCGACACACCACCTCCCCCTCCGTGCCCCGTGCAGTCCACCTCCACACAACAGCCAGGGTGCCCACTTTAAAAAAAAATTTTTTTTTTCAACGTTTATTTATTTTTGGGACAGAGAGAGACAGAGCATGAGCGGGGGAGGGGCAGAGAGAGAGGGAGACACAGAATCGAAACAGGCTCCAGGCTCTGAGCCATCAGCCCAGAGCCTGATGCGGGGCTCGAACTCACGGACCGCGAGATCGTGACCTGGCTGAAGTCGGACGCTTAACCGACTGCGCCACCCAGGCGCCCCTAAAAGGTGCATCAGATTTGTGCCACTCACCTGCCCGAAGCCCAACTACATCTAAAATGAAGCCCATGTTCTCAAATCCCACTTACAAATCCTGCCCTGGGTGACCCTGCCCCTTGATGCCCGGCACACCCCGGCCGTGTCCTTTCGGCAAGCCAGGCTTTCTTGCTAGAAGGACCTCACGAAGTGCACCCCTTGACCCTTTCCTCGGATGGCTGTCCTTCCCATCCCCTAAGCCTCTGCTGTCACCTCTCCGAAATAACCCCCACCAACCACCAATCTGAAGGTGCCCGCCCAGTGCCCCTCTCTCGCCAGCACCCTGCTCTGCCCCTCACATGCTAACCATCATTTGTAACCACGTATGTGCTGGTTTACTTGTTCACTGCCTGCCTTTGAGATCGCCCCTCAGTACCTGGCCTCGGCCCTTGTGAAAGACAGGATGCTGCAGGACAGGGAGAGCGGCCCCCAGGCCCAGCCGGGAAGGTACATGCTTTCTTCACTAACCGAACAACTACTCTCAAACTTCTGGGAGTTGCCTTAAAGGTCTGTACCACATGGTCTTCAGCTTCAGTAGCTTACAGAAAAATCATCTTGGCGACGCTCAGGGCGCCATGTGTCTACTGCTGGGTAAGAGAAGTGCAAGTGGCCTCATCCCTGAGTCTGCCAGCCAGATGTGCCTCTGCAGCCCTCTAAATGCCTTCCGCACCCCAACGTCTCAGCACGGCAGGTGCAGGAAGAGAGACCTTGCTCACAGACCCTCGAGAACAGAAAACTCCAGGGTGGGCTTGATTTGTAAAGGAGATAGAGTGATCACCCAGGGGACAGGGCCAGGCCTTCCCCAAGGACACACTCGAGAGGAAAGGGTGGGGCCCATCAGCCACAACGGAGGAGAACCTCCCTCCGCCCCCTAGAAGCCACAGGTTGATGGCAGAGGGTGGTTTTCGTCTTGAGAGTGTCAGGATAAGAAAATAAGCACAGTCCACTGCCCAGAGGCAGGGGAAGGACGGAAGGACACAATGTCTGCCGGGCCCTTTCCCAGGGCTAAGAACCCCATACAGGGAAACCAGGCAGAGTCTCTCCAGCCTGGGGCAAGGGCAGAGACATCCAGTCAGGAAACCTATGCTGCGTTCCTCCCAAGTGCCAGGCACTCCACAGCAGGGGAACGCACGCAGTCTGGACAGGCGGCTGGAGCTCCCACACCCAGCCGGCTGCATAAGGAAGCTGATCATGGAGGGCTCAGAGAGCTCCCATCAGGAGGAAGACGGATTCTCTCATGACACATGCACCAGACGCTTCCCGGACCTATAGCTGTGCCCCCACAAGACAGTCATGTTTTGGCTACGGCCCAGACCATGCGGAGGGTAGGGCGATGGGAGGCAGGGCAGGGGCTGGGGCTCTCAGGTATTCTGAAGCCCTCGGGGCACCTCTAGTAGCTGCTTTCCAGCTTTCTCCCGGGGCCCAGCGGTCACAGGGACTGGGAGTGAACCAATCTGGGCACGAACGCAGAACATTTTTAGACGGAGTTTTTCTCCAAATGAAGACTGATGCATGCCACCGGGTCTCTCCTCTAACCCCTCTGTATTTACAGGCTAGCATTTGAGCAAAGTAAGTGCAGCTGTGAGAAGCAGGAGGCTGGAGTGGAGCCAGGAGGAAAGATCCATGCAAGGACAGAAAATCTGAAGGCCGACTGATTTTGGGGGTTTTGCTGTTTTTTAAACAAACACCAACCACCTCAACTGTGGCATGTGACGCTTGGCACCCCTCCCCGAGAGGTCCCAGCCGGGGCAGAGCCTTGGAACTCAGTACGCACACTCTGGCCTCAAGTCTTGGCCAACCTCTCAGAGCCCTGTCATTAACAGCAATTAGTTTTCTTTGTTTTTCTAGAAGCTGGGACAACATGGATGTCAGGGTGTAGGAAATCCTGCTCTAATGAGCTGAACTGTGAGTGCAAGCTGACAGGGAGCTTCTGGGCTCCATCAGGCCTCGCCTCATCTCCAAAAGCGCCTGTGAGCTCGAGACGAGCTGGCTGCTGGAGGGCAGCGTGTTGTTGCTCTAGTGGAAAGGTCTAGAACGAAGAATCGCAGTATTGGGTGTCCCCATGGGGCACAGAGGGTCCTGGGTATCCAGTCAGGGGCCAAACTCCCTCAGGTCCTGCAGCCAGAAAAGTCTGGTTACTGACCTTTGGACCTGCACTCCCCACCCCAGAGCCCTGACACCGGGCCTCGAAAGTCCTTCTCCCCTGAGATCTCCAGATACCAGGCAGGGCCAAAGGGCAAAGGTGCTCCAGGCACAGGGACGCCAGGTGATGTGACTGTCAGTGTTTCTGAGGCCCAGCACAAGGGCCAGTGAGGGTGTCCAGGGTCCAGGACAAAGTCATTCCTGCCCTGTAGAAGAGGCCTGCCCTACATAACTGGGGGCACTGGATTCCCGAGTGTTAGATTATTCTGTGGGTGGAAGGGAGGAGGAGCTTGGGGACCCAATGATCACATCGAGGGCAGTCACTGTGGTCACTGCTGGGGTATATACTGGGGCTTTATACCCCACCAAGTGCTCTCTCTGCCACCCACACAACTCCTGCTTGGAGTACAGAGGTTGAGGCTCTGAGCCTGCAAGTCAGGGACCGAGCTGTCCCATCCCCGCTCACCTTCTGCTCCGATGGAGACCAGCTTGACTCCTTTACTGGCGATGAAGTCCAGGGCTTTGTTCACATTGTTGATTTTGTGCACTCTCATCTTGCCCCGCTCCGGCTTAGGTAACCGCTCACCTGAGAGCCACGCCCCGAGAAAGAGGGGGAGAAAGGGAAACTTTAATGTCCCTACTGCCCTCCAGAACTGGCCGCCATGGCACTCTGGCCCGCCCTCCCCCCACAGGCCAGCGCCTGGATGCGCTGCAGTGCAGTCGTTCAAAGCCTCAGTCTCTTCCCAGCAGCTTAGGGACAGCTGGGGTGGGCCGAGTCCCCGGGACGTGGCACAGGGCACCTGTTCCAGGTGTGGGGTGTGCTGCGTTGCACAGGAGACTCACCTGAAATGACCTCCAGAAGGAGCATGAGCTTGAGCCCGTCTCGAAAGTCCTCATCGATGTTCTCGATCTGTGTGCCAGCCTTCCTCAGGTGGGAGTTGCACCAGGCTGTGAACGTCTGGGGAAGCATGAGAGAGAGGCCTGGAGGGTCAGTGTGACTGTTGGGGCCTTCTAACAAAAGGGCTGGGCCACCACCCCGACCCTGGGACAACAGTGGCCACCACGGGGCCTTCCTATACACTGTTTCTGATCCTTAAACAACCCAGGCAAGTCAATCTGAGGAAACCGAGGCTCAGGGTAGTTAGCAGACCCACCGCACGATTGTCTGGATGATAAGTGGCACAGCATGGACTAGAACCCAGTCACGCAAATGTGACTCAGCGCCAGACCCCGGGTATGGAAACGAGACACAGGGTCCCTGCTCTTACATTCTTTGGGACAGATACACAGAGCCCTTCACCACCTCCCCCGACCCGAGCAGGCAGATGAGACCACAGGTCCTAGCCGGTGCTGGCTTCCTTCCCTCTCAGGTAGGAGCCATTGCCGGCACAGAGATGACCTGAGACAGGAAAGCAGATGGAAAATAAAAGCCTGCTGTAAATGTAAGGTTTTCTTCAAGTCAGTCTCTCTTGGAGTTTTGGGCGGCCTGGCAGCAAGCGCCTCCCCTAAAAGACCGGGAGCATAGAGCCTCTGAGCCCTGCGCAAGCCTCTATTCCTTGGGAGGACATTCCACATCCCACCCTTCCAAACCTTAGGGGAGCTTAAGGAGGCTGGAAGGCAAGTGGAGGTAGGCACCCCCCCACCAGAGTTAGACAGCCATATCTGAGGAAGTGTCTGAAACACAGGGCACGCAGATGCTGGGACATGAAAGGATGCATTCGGGTTCAGAGGGCCACAAACAACAACCCAAATCCCAAATCCCAACTCCAGAACACCCAGTACAGGGCACCAGCCACTCAGGCCCCGCTGGCCGGGCATGTCACCGGACATCAGCCCCCAGGAAGCGCGTCACATCAGTTAAAGGTGGACGTGTCTAGACACCTTCTGGGGAAACCGGCCCAATTAGCCTCCCACAGCAGGGTCTGGGAAAAATGCCATGCTTCTGTTTCTCACAGAACCCCCGTAACCCGCACCCCACCCTGCCACCTCCATCTGCAGTGGCCAGCATGGATGCGGGCGGAGGGCCAGGAGCGTACAAGCACACGCTCCATGCCCAGGCGCAGGCAGAGGCCACGTGGGGGGCGAGGGGCTTCCAAGGAGCCTCTGGCGGAGCACCATGTGTTTTGACAACTGTTACCACTCCTGCTCATTCAGACGTAACACTAGGCCCCTCCCAGACAAAGGAGCCGCCTAATCAACACGCCGTGCAGCGAGGATGGGCATGAGGTTTCCTTCCAAACCCAAACGGTGGATGTGAAGAGTTCCTCTGCACGGGGGACACAGACCCCATCCTGTGTGGAGCTGTCCCCTCAGTAAGGGTGCCTGTACCCTGCCTCCGCCTCTCCTAAACTGGCACCTGCTGATCCCTCAAGATCAGCCTGAAGCACAGCTCCTCTGAGACGTCCACACCGACTGGCTCACCCCGACCCGATTCTGACTCGGATGCTCCCTCCTCTGCACAGGTATCATAGCACCTTTCTCTCGGGCTCTTACAGTTGGGTGTTGTCCTCTGCCTCCGCACATGCCTGAACTCTGGCCACCAAGCAGGTGCTCACACTGAGGAAGCAGGAATGTGCCTTCTCTGCCTCATTCCCCAACCCCCTCTATACAGCTCTGAATTCAGACAAACCAGAGCCAGACTGCTGGTTACACTACTCATATGGAAACATCATCCGACCTTCCTTAACATCTGCCTCCCCGTCTGTAACATGGTGGTGAGGACAGCACCCAAGTCACGGTCAGCGTGAGGATTCGCGATGGCGGAGCCCGCAGAGCACATGACGGCCCCGGTCGTCGCTGTGCCTCCCCAGATCTCCTCCTTTCCTGAAATCCTGCCACTGCTTCCAGAGTATCCTCTCCTTCCCCTGTCTGCCCTGGCCACCACGCAGCCCCCGGCCGCTCTCAAAAGCATTCTCTAGTCATTCCGTGTGTTACTAGAGGTTGCCTGCACGTGTGCAAGCTCCAAGGGGGCAGGACTTCCGTCCCTTGTAATGTCTGAGGCACAGCCAGCTGCGGTGCTGGGCAGCGAGACGCGACTCAGCCGTCCTACAGACCAGTGGGCGGCAGCAGGCCGGGCTGGGGCAGGAAGTGGCCAGGAAAGCCGGCCTCTGCCCGTGCGCGTACCTGAAAGATACCTGCGAGTGGCAAAGCGACCGATCGTATCCCAAGGCTGAGGACGGAAGAGGGCGATTCCCAGAGGGCAAGCTCCCCAGTGCTCCAGTGCTGCTGGGGCCAAGATGTAGGCCCCTGGTCTGCACGCAGGGCCAGAAACGTGTCTAAACGGCAGCCCTCGTCACCTCAGCCTGCCTGGGTTATGCCCACGTGCTCTCAAAGGGCACAGGTCTGGGTCTCAATGCCAACTCCCGGACCTACTTACACCTCAGTTTCCTTCTGTCCGATGGACTCACCAGAATCTACCTCCCATAGCTGCTGCAAGGATTAAGTGGGCGAGAGGCTTTAAAGCACCCGACACAGTACCTGGCATAAAGTTAATGCCAGATGAATTGTCTGCATGCACAGTGGCTGCTTCCCTCTCTGCAAAGGCCCTTACCCCACCTCCATGGTTTGGATAGGAAATGAAATTGCAGGAAACCCTCTTCCTGTGGAGGCTGGGAACAAAACTCGCCTCGTGGGGTTCAGGCTATCTGTCCTCACAAACGTGTACCCCATCCTTTGCTCATCTTCTCTGGGGAGCACGTAAGAGCTCTGGGGCTTGGGGCTCACACGGACCTGGGTTCAAATCTGGCCTCTGCCGGGTGAGGCAACCTGCCCGAAGGGTAGCCCTGGATAAGCAATGAGCCTCACGTTGTCCGATGATGAAGTGGGGACAGTTAACTTCTCTTTAAATAAAGATCGAACAACATAATGCAAGTTAATCACTTAACTGTGCCTGGCACAGATTCTGTCAGCACTCAGGATTACACGTATGTCCAAAAAAAGACCTGTTTTCAAGTCAACGGTCACTATGCCCTGTACTTCTGTGTCCCTAGCTGGAAGCAGGCAGCGTCCTCAGCAGAATACCGAGCAGGTGCTTAGGAAGCGTATCCGCTTGCCTGGCCTGGGTGGCGAGAAGGAAGAACTCTCTCCTGAGCCGGCCACAGACAGAATGGAAACCCCACCGACAGGCCTCCCACCCCTATGCCCCACGTGGCTGTTTTCTCCTTCTGGAAGATGACGGGCACGTGCTGACACTCGAGGCTCACAGACGAGGAGAACGGGCCCTCACAAGGCCATCTTCAGGGAACGAATCAACCCCAGACCACCACTTCTTTACGCAGTGACTGGGCAGGAGGAGCTGGGATTTGAACGGGACATTAAACATTCGGTTGTTCCTAGTTGGCCACAAGAATGACTCTCTACTCGATACTTCCTCTCCCTACCGGTTTAGGCTAAGATGCGTGGGGTAGACAGTGTGGAGGGGTGGTTTCAATAGACAGAGGCCTCGCGTGCCCACCACACCACCCACCGCTGTGCAAAATTCTCAGAGCGTTGAGCTACAGAGCCAACAGCTGAGCCAACGGCTGACAGGTTCCACTGCTCCGCATGCCCCAGGCTTCCGTGGGGTTGGAACACGTCCACTCCCTTGACAAGCATTTGCTGGGGGTCGACCCCAGGCCAGGTCCTGTGTCGAGGACAGAGGAGTGAGCAAAAGTGGACACAGCCTGCACTCTCACGGAGCACCCAGTCTGAACAGGGAGAGGATGTCAGTAATCAAGCGACCGCTCAGCTACAGAAATAACAGCCGCAGGAAAAGTAATAGTAATGACCGGAGCAGCCACCTCTATAGAGCTCACTACGTGCCGGGCACTGTTCTAGGCACTTTGTCACGTATTAATTTCTCCCAGCTGCATAACTATCTTGTGGGGTAGGAGCCACTACGGGCTCATTTTACAGATGAGGAAACCAAGGGTCGGACAGGTGTTGTGACTTGACCACAGGGAGTCACGCACCTGGAAAGTTACAGAGCCGGACTTAAAGCCAGGTCCTCTGAGCCCCAGAGGCCCCACTCCAAGGTGTCATGCGTTTGCCCTCTTCCCCGCTGCCCCCAGAAAGGGAGCGAAAGACCATTCAGCATGCAAGCTCCTGATCTAGGTAGGGGCAGACACGGGGTAGTTTCCGAGGTAATTCTCCCACTCTGATAGGACTGAGAATGAGTGAAGACAAAAAATAAGGGAGACGGTGCAAATAACAAGAACAGCATGTGCAAAGGCCCTCCAGGAGGCTGGAGAGAGAAAAAGAGGGAACAAGTAGAGCAAGCTGTGCCATGAGGCTGGTGGGGCCTACCTCACAGGGCCTTCCAAAGGTCACATTGGCTGCTGCTGGCTGAGGACAGAGCTGAAGGGGGCAAGGGTCAATGCGTGAGGACCAGGAAAAAAGAGAGTAAAAAGCCTCCAAGAGAAACTCGGCACTGGGAGGAAGACAGAGGAGCCATGCTGGAGATACTAACTGTCGTGACTGAGAAAGACAAGCTCAGTGTTTCTATTTTATTGGGGGGGGGGGGGGGGGGCATGCTAAAGGTAATTATGCAATCATCGCTAATTACTGCTTCCTACCATTTCTACATAGGGACTCTTTAAAACCTCCAACCTCATGATCGTGTAAATTATCATCTCCATTTTACAGATGAGGAAACTGAGGTGAGGAGGGGTAAGTGACTTGCCCAAGGTCACAGAGCTCATCAACAGTTTCAAACTTGGGGCGGCCGCTCATCCACAAGGCCTGAGTGGGACGCTAAGTACGCTTGGCAAAGCAGAGCCAGCAGAGCAGAGTTAGGAAGGCCCCAGCCCCACCTCAGCCCCCAAGCTGGAGGGGAGCTCACACAGTGAGGTGGGCAGGCAGAGCTATGCCTCCAAAAGCTCCCCTACTTCTTCAAGGGTGGCCTGGACCCACTGTGAGGCAGCGAAAACAAAGCCAGTGGTGGCCCTGTTGCTCCCAGCCTGTCCTTGCCATTGTGAGAAGGGAGCCTGAGCCCAGCCCTCGGCCTATCTGGGGAGGAAGGAAGGATGTGGACTTGTCTGTCTTTGAGAACACACGTGAAAAAAAAAACCACAGAGAAGAGGCTTTAGAACTTGCCTCTGCACACTGGCAGCCTGTTCAAGATTCTTCTCTGGTTGCTAAAATAGCACAGGGTGTGAGTGGGGGAGAGGGAGGGCCGGCAGAAGAGAAAGAGGAGCTTGTTGGCTCCTTTGGGACCCAGTCACCACTCCCAGTGCGGTGGTGCACCGGGGACGGCAAGCTTCAGAGGGGCCCCTGGGCGGTTTCTGCTTTGTCACTCTGTATGTGGGGGGAGGGAGAAGAGGCCATCACTGGCCATAAAGTCCTTCCTGTGTCACAAGGACCCCTCCCAGTGGCCAGGATGTGGGGTGGCTGGGTGAATGAATGATGGATATTGTTCTGGAGGTGACCTAAGCAGCCGGGAATGTGGCAGCAGGGGGCTTTAATGAGCCATTCATCAATGACTCCTTCCTCCAACCCAAAGAGGTAAACCCTGTCTACTCTGGGGCAGTACTGAATCCGAAGCAAACATCTTAAGACAGAGCAACCAAGTGGCATTCCAGTGGGCACAGTGATGGTGAGTGCGAGAGGAAAGGGTCCTGGTGGGATGAGGCTGCCCAGCTGAAAAAACTTTCCTTTCCTCTTCTTCTCAACGACTTCCTGTTACAAAACACGTTCCCTGTTACAAAACACGGTCATAGTACTGAAGGGGGTGGTGTGGAGGGAAATGTCTGTTGGGAGCTGGGATTCCACTGAACCCAGAATAAAGGGAGTCTCTTGCAAAGTCAGTCTGGGTCTGGAAGCAGGCTCAGCCCAGTCCCTTGGCGGGGGCGAGCATACTGGCTTCAAGGATCGGCCCCGGCAAAGAGGGCTCCCGGACCAGGGTCGAAGGCTGCACTATTTCTACTCACGCGGCAGATGCTCACATGTGGATTCCATTGACTCCACGCTTCACACGATTTTAGGAAAAGCTCTTTGCTGCCTCACACCGCATCCCCCGCCTTCCACCGTGTACGCTGCCCACCCCCTTCGCGGGACAGCCCGGGCCGACAGCCTGACCCACAAGGCCCAGGACTGACTGCAATTGGTCACGGCAAACTCCCCCAGGGTACACGGAGGCAAGACAGGGCTCCCTACGGTGCTGGGAGTTTTCAGACCCCGTCTCTGCAATACCGTGTCGGGTTTGCCGCTCCGCTGGGGCATCAGCTGCCTTGAGGGGGAGGGCGCCGTCCCACTTCCTGAACTCCCACCTTGCCTGCTGTGGCCTCTGATGCTGCCCATGGTTCCTGCTTCCACGGGTCCTCAGGAAGGGTGTCTGGGGCTTGGACACAAGGGAGGGACGGCTATTTATTCCTAGGACAGGCATCCAGCCTTCTTATCACCCATCTGCCTGGCCACTGCCAGGCTTCAGACAAGGCCTAGCCCCAGCGGGGCATCTTTTCAGTTCCTGAAAGCAGAAACTGCTCCCACCATAAAGGCCCTTTCAGGGCTCGACAGCTCAGCCGAAGGGAATCTGGGTTGCCAGTGGCTCAGGCAAAAAGGCGATCACCCTGGCAACATCCACACGGACCGTCCAGGGAGCAAGGGGATCTGTGAGCCTCTGGACGGTTCTGAGATCGTATGTGTGAGTACTATTTTTGAAGACCCACTGCCTTTACCAGATCTGAAGGGGACAGAAACCAGGGAGCAGGCTGAGAACAGATAACGGACTGGTCATGATAACGTGGCCACAACGTAGATGGATGCAGCCCCGCCAGGACGGGAAACTGAGGCTGGTGGTTTCGCAGCACCGGGGACACAGTGAGCTGCCCGCCCAGGACTCAATCCATAGCCAGCCAGGGGCAGAGCAGGCATGCTGTGTGTGCCTGCCCCATGACGACATCACCTAATTTGAAAGCAATTACAGGGAAATATGGAATGTTGCTTATGTCCTGGCCCGACGCTGCCTTATTCGGACTTTTCTCAGCCTACACAAAAAAGCTCTGACTTCCCAGTCGGAGGAGAGGTATAAATACCGCAGAGTGGAGTAGTGAACATTCCAAAGGTCCTGCGTGTCCATCCAGAAACCAGCTTTCCCCCACACCCCCTCCCCGGCAGCCAACGTTCCTGCCTCGGCCAGTCACCCTGTAAAGCACCAGAAAGCGAGCACGCTGTCGCTCCAACAGACTGACTTGCGTGTAGTTCCTACCTCGCAATAAGCGCTCGTCGAAAACTTTCCTGTAGGTCTTTACAGGGCCCGTTATTTCTCATCACTCAGGACTTCCCTCAGATGACATCACCCCAGGTCTTCCTTGCCCTTGACATCTGCACCATACAATCACTTTACTCCGGTAGGTCATATTCATTGTACTTATTTCTCTCAGAAATTATGTCCTTTGTCCAGAACCAGTCTTCCTCCCAAGCCTACCAGAACCTCTATGAGAGCCGAGTCCTGTTTGCCGCAGGACCCCACTGCCTTGCACAGTTAGTCCTTAGTAAATCCTACAATGAATGGAATGTGTTTGGGGCCTCTCATGTCTAGTCATTTATGACTTCATGGTTTCTAATCCCATTTTGTACTGGTGAGAGTCCCAAGATTTAGGGCTAACACTGCTTGCTTTCAAAAGTTCACAAAAATAAATCCTGGGGCTACAGATATTCCACACGCAAGACACGGAAGATGCTGCTCGCGGCTTGCCACTCCAACAGAAGGACAGGAGCGAACCCTCAGGAGCCTCATTCACTCAGGCATCAAGGCCACTGGACTTGCAGAGACCCTGGCTCAAGGGCGGGACCTAGGCGGTGGGTAGCAGTGGGCAGGCTACGAGGCAGGCTGAGGAGAGGACAGAGTGGCACAGTGCTCCAGAGCAAGGGCTCTCGAATCTCAAACATGGCTTCAAATCCTCGCCTCGCCACGCCACTTACTCTGCGAGGCCTTAGAAAACAGAGGTCATCTCCCTCAGCTTCAGTTTCCTCCTTTGTAAAATGAAGGTAATAGGAGGCACGGTGTGAGCATTCAATAGGGCAATACGCACAGCCTGCGGAGAGTAAGTGATCAGTAGATGTTCCATTCGTTACTGTGTAGTTCCAAAGGGGCGAAGCCACACACCCCCAGTATTGCTGGCTACACTCTGGTGGCCGACACAAAGTGGTCTTCCCCCAAACCTCCCTTCCCTTAGCCTGGCCACGCGACTACCAAACCAAAGGAATATAATGATCAGACCTGGTTTTTCACACTTCCCGAGATCCTTGAAGTCCAGAGGTCCTCGACCCTGGCTGTACCTTAGAATTACCTGTGAGTTCTTCTGGTTTTTGTTATTTTCTCTCTCTCTCAGTTTTTAAGACAATGAATATTGTTTTCAGCCACCAGGCTTTGAGGCAATTTGCTACCCAGCAGTAGATAACTAACGCAATATGGAAGCAGAGTTGCTGTATCATAGGTATGCGTGTATTCTTTTTAATCAAGTGCACAGTTTGGAGAGCCAATTTTTTAAAACTGAGTTGTAATTCACATACCATAAAACCCACCCTTTTGGGGCACCTGGGTGGCGCAGTCGGTTAAGCGGCCGACTTCAGCCAGGTCACGATCTCACGGTCCGTGAGTTCGAGCCCCGCGTCGGGCTCTGGGCTGATGGCTCAGAGCCTGGAGCCTGTTTCCGATTCTGTGTCTCCCTCTCTCTCTGCCCCTCCCCCGTTCATGCTCTGTCTCTCTCTGTCCCAAAAATAAATAAAAAACGTTGAAAAAAAAAAAAAAAAAAAAACCCACCCTTTTAAAGTATAAAAATCAGTGAGCTTTAACTTATTCATGAGGCTGTACAATTATCACCAGTATCTAATCCCAGACCATTTTTATCACCCCAAAACTGTGAGCACTCCCTATCTCCCCTTCCCCGCTAGCTCCTGGCAACTGCTAATCTACTTTCTGTCTCTATGCATTTGCCTTTTATGAACATTTCATATAAATGGAATTATACAGTATGTAACCTTTGTGTCTGGCTTCTTTCATTGTGCTTTCCAGGTTAACCCACGTTGTAGCCTGTATCAGTGAGTGTTTCATCACTTCTTGTCTGAGTAATACTCTATTTTATGGATGTCTCATATTTTGTTTATCCATTCATTCTCAAGTTGATGGACATTTGGGTCATTCCTACTTATGCTATTATGAATAATGCTGCTACAAACATTCATGTGTAAGCTTTTGCGCCAACGTGTTTCCAATTCCCCTGGGTATATACCTAGGTGTCTAACTGCTGGATCATATGGCAACTCTACGTTCAATCGTTTGAGGAACTACCAAGCTGTTTTCCAAAGAGGCTTCATCATTTTACATTCCCATCAGCAACATATGAGCATTCCAATTTCTCCACATCCTTGCCGACACTTGTTATTATCTGACTTTTTGATTATAGTCTTCCTAGTGGGTGTGAGGTGGTGTCTCATTTGCATTTCCCTAATAATTAATGATGCTGAGCATCTGATTAACCTCTTTGGAAAATCTGTCTTCTAGTCCATTTTTTAACTGGTTATTTGTCTTTTCATTGATATGTTGCAGGCATTCTTTATATATTCTGGACACTAGACTCTTATCAGATATACGATTTGTAAATGTTCTCTCCCATCCTGAAGATTGTCTTTTTACTTTTACTTTCTGAGTGTCCTTTGAAGCAAAAAAAGTTTTTAATTGTCACTAAGTCTAATATAACTATTTTTCTTTGGTTGCTTGTGTTTTTGGTGTCCTATCTAATAAACATTGCCTAATCCAAGATCACACAGATTTTTAAAAATTATTATTATTATTATTTTTGATAGAGCACACACATGTATGCGCAAGCAGGGGAAGGACAGAGGGAGAGAATCTTAAGCAGGCTCTATACTCAGCACGGAGCCTGATGCAGGACTCAATCTCACAACTGTAAGATCATGACCTGAGCCAAAATCAAGAGTTGGACACTTAACCGACTGAGCCACCCAAGTGCCCCCACGGTCACAAAGATTTATGCTTACGTTTTCTTCTAAGTTTTATGGTTTTAGTTCTTATATTTAGATATTTGATCCAGTTGGAGTTATCTTGTATATGGTGTGAGGTAGGGGTCCAACTCCATCCATTATTTGCGTGTGGATATCCAGTTGTCTTAGCACTATTTATTGAAAAGACTACTCTTTCCCCATTGAATATGTCTTTTACTCTTGCTGGAAATCAATTGACAATAAATATATGGACCTCAGAGTTTCATAATAATGCCAAAACTTCACCCCAGGCCTAATGAAGGACCTGAAGGTGGGTCTTGAGCAACAGAATTCAGGAAGCTTACCAAGTGAGCCTAAAACGTTGCCAGGGTTGAGAACCACCACTCTAATTTATTAAACTCTCGCATTCTCTAAGTGAGGAAGGAATACAAGGCCCAGTTAGAACTACGCAACCCTTGGATTTGTTAGACTGAACTGGACCTTGGAGCTAAAAGAAATCTCAGAGAAGCAGGGGGTAGGCAGCCCAGGGTAGGGAGGTGCCCTATTCTCAAACAGACCTTTTCAGGAGCTATCCCACACATGGAAAACCAACCAACCAACCAACCAACCAACCAACCCAAAGCTACTCAGATTACACTCCAAAGAACTGGGTCCTCCCCACAGGGGAAGAGCCTGCCCTCCCCACAGAGAGTACACAGGGAGATAAGGGTCTGAACTAAAGGCAGGTGGGGGCCACGGGGTGGAGGTGGAAGGCGGCACTCAGCTCTCAAAAGAAAGCTTTTTAACAGGAAGAAGAGATGGGTGAGGCCTACCTGAAATAGCTACCTTTAAAAGAGAAAGAAAACTTCCACCTCCCAAAAGGCAGTTTTTAAATTAGGGCAGCAGCAGACTGGGGACATGCCCTCCGCCTCCTCTGGCCCAATGTGGCATTTTGCTGTGAAACGATCAGGCACAGGGGCCCTTCACCTGGAGAACAGGGAGTGTGAGCTACAAAAACCCCATTTACTTTCAATGGCTTACAGTTGAGCTCAGGTTTCGGGGTAGGAAGGGAGATTAAAGATCGTCTGGTTTAAACTCTGATCCTTCAAAAAGATAGCCAAGTGAGCCAATTCTGGCCCCTAGACTGTGTGTCTTGGAATCCGAACAGGTGCCTAAGAAAACCAGTCTTTAGAATCAACGTTTTATCATGGACAAATCCGCCTATGAACTTGCTTATCTAGATAACAGGCATTTGGCATGTGGGGAGAAAAGGTCAGAGGGGGCACTGAGGGGACGCAAGTGTCATTCAGGCAAGTGCTTCTTCCGTCCTGAGCCGAGGCCCACCCCAGTGACTCCCCAACAGAACTGAGAAGTGAGAAGAGTGTGCAGGCAGGGGCATATGGGCAAACACCACCATTTCTCCCTCTGTTCACCTTCTAGCAAGACAGCCTGCTTCCTGCTGGAACTTACATGATCCACAAACTGGGCCTTGGTGGTGGAAGGGCAATCATGCTGGGCCTACAAGTGATTTCTAACAGTGGTGCAGGTTTCGCTTTTGACCACGAAACTCCTTGGTGATCCTTTTTCCTTTTTCTTGTCTTGGAACATTCTGACTTAATGGTCCACCGATCAGGTCAGAAACCTCCTCCAGTGAAGGCAGGGAGGGGTGTGTGGAGTGAGTGACATGGCTAGGGCAGAACTGGACTGGTCTGAAAATCTGTGCTCTTGACACAGTGGGGGAAACCGGAGCCTGGGGCGGCGCTCACGGACATGCACTTGTTTCATGGGCGCTCTGTCCCACTGGCTTCCCGCTCTCAGGCCTGAGAGTAAGATGATCCCTTTGAGAAGCAGGCCGCGAGAATATAGGGAGGGCATTATCTGCGTGATCAATTCCTCTCATCTCTGAGTGGACGAGCCCTGGCAGGCGGCCCATGGAGGTGCTGGGTACTCGTCAGCCTGCCCACCCTCTCCTGAGGCTCAGTGCAACTCCTCTTTGGGGCTGGCACTGAACATGGGCTCAGTGAGTACTGGCTGAGAGAGTGAATGAATCCATCGTCAATCTGGGAGGTGCCTCAGACCAGAAATTCCTGGCTTAGATTTTGGAGTTTGCCAAGAGGTAACTGGTGGTGTTCAGAGTTATCCACTCTAGACCTTAGCCTCACGTGAGCAGGCTCTAGCTCTACTTCCTGGCCCTGTGACGGTGGGGGGTGGGGGGCACAATTTCTGTGGGCTAAGAAATCATTCTCGATTTGGGGGGCCTCTTTTTTCCTTTACCATATTCACTCCATCTTAGTCCCCCTGAATATACAAGACAGACAATATCAACCAATGTCTCAGGAGGATTTTTTCTTTAAAAAAGAGAAACGAAAAGAAGGTTCTATAGCCAAAGGGTAATTACAGGACTGGGAGGAACCAGTAAAGAGAGACTGAAACCTCTGACTCATAATTGCTCCATTAAAAATGGTGAAACCGTTTACCCTGGCACAGTGACAGGGCTAGACTCTCACTCTGGCTCGCCCCACCTACAGGCCTTCCTGGGGCTGGCACTGAGGTCCCGCCAAACCGCAGTAAGGGGCGACTGTCTCCAGGAGCAGTGTGATGTCAGAGGACAGGGAGGTCCCTGCCACTCTCAGGGGCAGATCTGACTCCCGGCCCCATCACAACAGGAGTGCCTTTGTGTGCACGTGTGCGTTGGGAAGAGGGGAGGTAATGGAGCACCACTGTGAAGATGTGGGTTCGGCTTTCCAGGGAGGACTCAGCCTACCAGTCCACCTGCCCCATCAGCGCTGCTAAGGAGCCGAACCATCGACGAAGACAGCAAGAGGTGTTTTTATGACTGGGTCGGGTATAAGGCCCACCCTAATCTAACTGTACAAGTGACTCACATTTATTGAACACTTACTGCTTACCAGAATTTGTTCTCAATGCTCGACATTTTACAGATAAGGCTAAAAGCTGAAGCAATCTGCCACAGTCACACAGCTGGGAGGCGTCAGGGTCAGGATCCACACGTCTCCTAACCAACCTCAAGTCTGGCTGAGACTGCTTTCTGTTTCTGGTTGTTGCCGTGTCGGGCCCCACGTGAGGTACCTCACATATTTTCTCTCATCCGATCCACTCTAACGAAGACACAAAACCAAATGCAGTCCCGGAGGCCCTTGGCCAATGCCATCCTCCGCCAGCACCAGAGGCCCAGCGCTGGGCCGCAGGGTGAGTCATGGGAGAGGGAGGGCTAGTCAGGTGACCCAACGAGAATCAGAGCTATGCTGAGGTGGCCTGGTTACCTTGACATTCCTGTGATTCTGCCAAGGTAAAAAGTAACCCGAGGAGTTTGCCTTATATGGGCACAATGACAGATTTCGACACAATGTGTTAACTGACCCTGCATCAAATCCCGGATTGCATAGGAGAGGCCTGATAAAGCTCTGAAAGTATAGGAAATAACAATTTATGACAGGCTATCACTGGTGACTCATAAAACAAAGGTGCAGCCCAACTGCCATTGTGTGCCTTCTAGAAGTGGGGGGAGGTTGGTGGCTCCCAGGCCAAGTGGCTCTATCACTCTCCTCACACGTGGCAGGAGAGGCCCGGGTTAGACCCCTCCCTCTGTTCACAGGGCCTGGTTCAAGGCAGGGCCTGGAGGAAATCAATTTCAGGCTGGAGCAGAACAGCCAGTCCTCTATGGGTTCAGAGAGCCCCGACCACCTGCTCTCTCCCAGAGGAGTCCAAAAAGGAGAGACGGGAGCTGCGCTGCCAGGCACAGGCTTTCCGCCCAGCAGGGAACAAGATGGTCAGGTCTCAGTGCCTCGACACTGCGTGAGAACCAAAGAAGGTGGCTGGGCCTCCCAGGATTCTGGAGTCATCCCAGCTTGGGCCCAAAATGCTGGCATCGAACACCCTTCCCAGGCAGCCCCCGGCCCACAGAAGGAGGAGACACTTCTCTGAGCCCTTCCCAAACTCTCAAGCATTTATTCTAATCTTAAAATGTATTCGGTGTTGGGGCACCTGGGAGGCTCAGTTGGTTAAGTGTCTGACTTCAGCTCAGGT